CTCCTGACCTCTACCTCTTGAGTAGCTGGGATTACAGCCGCGAGCCACCAGTGCTCAGCTGATTTAGTTACTTTTTGCATGGGGTCTCACATATATACCCAGGCTGGCCTGGAGTATGATCCTCCTACTTATGTTTTCCACATAGCTGGGATAACAGGCATGTAACACCAAGCCTAGATTTTATTGATTGAGATGGGGTCTTGTGAACTTTTTGTCTGATCTTATTGCCTTCCACCTTCTAATTGGTATGCACCACTGCACCTGGCTTTTATTTCTAGTTTCTTAAGTTAGGCACTTAGGTGATTTGAGAATATCCTCATTTCTAATACAAATATTTAAAGCTATAAAAATTTTTCTATTAGCACTTCCTCAGCAGCATCCAAAATGTTGTTCTATGTATTATTTTTTAAATTCCTTTAAGACTTCTTATGTGATCCATGAATTATATAAAGGTATGTTGTTTAATTTCCATATGTGTAGAGATTTTCTTGCCTTTCTTGTTATTGGCTTATACTCTGATGCTGCTATAATCAAAGAAAACACATTTTATGGTCACAATTAAGCTTGGTGGGTTTTTTTTTGTTTGTTTTTTTGGTTTTCTTGGTGTTTTTTTGCAGAACTCGGACTTGAACTACTCCATCAGCCCTAATTTTTTTTTTTTTTTGTGAAGGATTTTTTGAGATAGGGTCTCATAAACTATTTGCCTGGGCTGGCATCGAACCTCAACCCTCCTGATCTCTGCCTCCTAAGTAGCTAGGATTACAAACGTGAGCCACAGGCGTCCAGCACTGAAGTTTCTTGAAGTTCCATATGATCTATCTTATGAAGAGTCTTTCATTAGTACTTGACAATCAAATAAGAATAATATGCACCCCACTGCAGCTGGATGCAGTGGTATAAAATACCAATTAGGTTCTTATTAATTGTGTTATTAAGATCTTTAGGATCATCATGTCCTCCTAGTGGGCAAATTCTTATCATTATGTTATGTTCCTCTTTTCTCTGTAGCAATTTTCTTTACTCTCAAGTTTAAATAATCAGATATAATAGAGCCACACCTCCTTTTTAAAAAATCAATGTTTATATGTCTTGCTCCTTACTTTTACTTCTCCTCTATATTGGTGAATTTTAAGTTTCATATAAGTAGCATATTCTTTTTAATCAACTTCACAACTTTTCTTTTAATTAGTCTACTTAAAAATTTACATTTAAGGTACTTAATGATTAGCACTTAAGCCTACCATTTTATTATTGTTTTCTACTTGTTTCCTCTGCTTCTCATTCCCCTTCTTTTTTCCTGTTTTTCTGTGGGTTATTTGATAAATTTTAGGATTTCATTTTGATTTATTTGTAGTATTTTTAAACATATCATTCTCAATGAGTATCTTAATGGCTTCTCTGGATATTATGACATTCATATGTGACTTACAAACATTCAATGGTATTAATATTTTACCACTTACACTTTTGAGGTCAGCCATCAAATGTGATTTATAAGTCTCTTTGGGAAAAGGAAAGATATTGTGTATATCCAAATTTCAGCTCTTTCTGTTGTTCCTTTCACTTGCTGATGCTCTGATGTTCCTTTTCCAATTATTTCCTTTTTTTGAAGAGCTTCACTAAGCCAATCTTTGACAGAAGGTATACTAGTAAAAGTATTTATTTTTTTGATCTCAAAGTGCTTACCTGTCATTCCTAAAGAATAGTTTTCACACTTGATAGCTTTTATTTATCTTTTGAGTACCTGAAAAATATTGTGTTACTTCCTTCTGGCATTCACAGAATTTCAGATGAGAAAATACATTATCATTCAAATTGTTGTTCCCTAATAGACAATGTGTTGTTTCTCTCTGGCTTCTTTCAAGAATTTTTTCTTAGTTTTCAGTTTTCAATATTTAATTACTATGCATCTTGGCATGGATTATTTTGGGTTTATCCTATTTGTAGTCAAATCAGCATCTTCAATATACTGGAAGTTTTAAGCTATTAGTTCTTCAAATACTCCTTCAACCTCACTCTCGGGCTCCTCAACTTATGGGACTCGTGATGCTTATGTAAACTTTGGATCTTTTGTTATTGTTCCATAGGTCCCTGAAGCTCTTCATTTTCTGTGTTATAGACTGGGAAATTCTTTTATTCTATATCCAGGTTCACTGAGTCTGTCATTTTTATTTACCTAGATTAAGCCATGCATCATGAATCTTAGTAATGTATCTCTCAAGTCTCTAATGTCATCTTGTTTTTTTCAATAACTTTCATTTTGTGGCTGGTACTTTCTATTGCCTCAAAAGAATTTATAATTAACTAGGTATTTTTATGAGAGCTGTTTTAAAATCTTTGTCAGATAATTCCAATATCTGATTTATCTCAATGCTGGAGTCAGTTAAATGTTTTTGTTTTCTTATTCATGTTGTGATTTTCTAGGTTCTTTTATGATAGGTGACTTTATATTATATCCTGGGCATTTTTACTAATATGTTAGGAAACTGTGTTATTTATTCATATCTTATATTTAACCTCATAATCTCCCTCTTTAGGTTTAAGATGATATTCTTAAATATTCTATTTTGGTAAGCTGTGGGTCCAGTGACCACTTAATGGTTAGAGCCATCATGGGATTATTTTGGTCAGCTTGTTTTCTCTGGATCTGCTAGAGCTCCCACTGGCCCTGGGTTTAGCTTCCTAACAAGTAGAGGTAGTTTTTTAAGGTCAGACTACTAGGTATCTTTTGGTAAGCAAAAAGTGTGGTGGTTTCCTCTACCAGTGCCACCTACCTACCCCAGGGACTCTGGGCAGAAGAAGAAAGTCTTAAGCACATGGATACAAAAGGACTTTCAAGGCCACACTGATTACTGTGACTAGAAACCTTCTTGTTCTTCCTACTTGCTTTGCTCACAGGGACAAAACAGTTTCCCTAAACTAGGCCATATATGTTTGTTAATATGGCTGACAATTAAAGAATTCCAGAAATGTGCTTAAAATTATACCAAAAGATTATGACAGAGCTGCAATTAAAGTTTGGTTGCCAGCAGACAGCCTAGATCTCCTTTTACTAAGTAAATAGTATCTGAGGTAATGTAAAATTAATTACTAAAAGATTAAGTTATGGTCTGCTCTCCTAACTGAATTTAGAATGGATATCAACACATTTTAAATAATTTTTCAATTAATGCTGATGTGAAGAGTTTACACCTAATGTTCAATGGTCTAGTACACAGAAAAATCAATTAAAAGAAGCTCTGCCAAATATTCTGGCTAACCGATAACCACCAGGAGCACCATTTACACTGGTATTTCTCTCAGTGACAAATTAACAGAACTCTCAGAACTTCACTTTCTGCTTGTCTAAAATGAGATAATATCTATATTTCAGAAAGATATCACATATATTTATAGGATATAACAAATATGGATATGCTCATATCCATAAAGGATAAGAACATTTATTGTTTCATAATGAGAAAAACAATATCCATCTTATAAGGAAAAAGTTTTAAAATGTCTTAATATTTACAGGCTCACTTATTTCGTGATAAGCTAATCTTTGCTTGGATATCCATTACTTATTTTTTGCTTCATGTATTTGTATGCCTTCACTAAGTTATGTGGAATACAACAAAAAACTATGTGCTAAGCCAATCTCTCCACCAAATACCCACATATACATCAAATCATTTAATAAAATGAATTACTTGCCAACCTATAGAGGGAAAATAACTTTAACAAAATCATTGAAGATGTGTACAGAGATTCTTTCCCTGAAACTGAGAGAGGGAACTAATGGCTAAGGATTTACATTTGTTCAGGGCTACAGTGTATCTATTTTTACAAATTAAGTTCATAAAAATAGGTTTGAATATGTATAACTATAGAGGCATTTACAACATTGACAAAACTATCAATTTACAAAGTAAACAAAATCTATAAAACAATTAAAAAAGGAAAATGTTAATTGAATACTTGAGTTGCTCACTGAACTTGAATCTTTACTTGGCATATGAACAAGGCATTGTGCATTACAGGACATAGGTCTTTAGAGTTCACATGTCTTTTGTATGAAGGCGGAGGATGAGATGGAAGAGCTCCTTCCTTCTTTCTCATACCTTCCTCAAATAATCCAAGGACATGACCAAGGAAAACATAGAGTCTGGCTCACCTGATTTTTAAAGATTTAAAAACAAGTATCAAATTCAGAATCAGGGCTATTGTGGTTAAAAGACCCTTCTGCGGTGTTAGGAGAACAGTTTAAAATCTGGATTCACAAACTTCACCTACCTTTGCCCAGATACCGGCTGACAGTCCAAGAACAGGGCTGACAGCCAAAATCACAAGGGTTAGCTTCCAGCCACGTGTAAATCCTACTATGAAACCTGTGAAAAATGTTGCCATTGACTGAAAGAACATTCCAATTTTGTCACCAATTCCTTCATTAATTTTGGAGACATCACTAAAAAAAAAAAAGTTAGAAAAAAATGTCAGAATTGCAAACATAGAACTTTCTCCTGCATTCAGTTTTGTTTTCTTGCTGAGGGTTGGGTGCATTGGTTTATATCTAGGGGCTTTGTGTGTATGCTTGTTTTATTTGGCAGGGTGTCAGTTTCTGGTGGGAAATGTGTCATTAACAACAGGAATCTGTAGTCCACACTGCCCCAGGAAATGCACATGGTGTACTCAAGTATTCAAGGTAGAAATTTCAAATTGCTTGGAATTTCTCCAGAAAGCATCATATGTGCTCTACTGCACATTGCTGTACTAACATTCCCAGAGTCAGGCACAAGTCCAATTCCTCATTCACTGGTAGTCATTCAGGTCCTCTCCTGCCCGGCTAGAGTACAGCGGGGGGGGAAACATGCATGAGGCGTGATTGCTGCTCACAAGGAATTCAGTCTTGTAATTACTTCTGGTGATACACTAACTTCTTCTAACAGAGCTGATGCTGACATCTGTTTCACTTCATTAAGAATAAGAACCTCATCTAAGCAAAACATAAAGGTAGGTACTTACTCTGTGAGCCGCGTGTTAAGTTCCCCAACATCATGCACATCAAACCAGCCTATCTCCTGCTTCACGATAGCATGAAAAAACTTTTTCCTGATTTTGTTTATTTGTCTTCCAGCTGCCAGACACCAAAATGAAACCTGAATGTAAGCAGCAACAAGCACCCCAGCACCAATTCCAGTGTAATAATAGGCATACCTGAAAAACAATGACCACACAACATATGTGCTGTTTTCTATCAATGCATCTCACCCAAACAAACCACTTAGTCCTAAACTTTGCAGTTATCAGGGTATTTCACCATCCTTAACATATAAGAAAGGGATCCAACTTTGCCCTAATTTTGAGGAATGGTTAACAGCAATTTCTGCTTCTGGGTAAATCCCAGCCCTTCACTAAACTGTTGTGTTGTCTCAGGCAAGCTGCTTAACCTTTCTAAGCCTCCGATTTCTGATTGGTGAAATTGAGATAAGAACAGTAAAGCGGTCCACTTGGGACAGCGTCTGGCACTCAGAGTATGCCAATTATTGTGACAGACTGTTTGAGGAATTAAGCAAAATGTGTTATTGCAGTCCTCTTCACTTTTATTACATCATCATCAGTTTGGTAAGTACTTTGGAGTGTTGTCTGCACATTGAGAGGTATACAGAAGGTGACAGGACTTCTCAGAAAGTGGAACCAAAAGATGGAAATGGTCTCCTGCCATTTGGGGCTAGCAGAAGTTAGATGTTAAGTGAAAACTGAAAGTTAAAAATATTTGTATCTCATTTTCCAAAGTGACCATAATGAACTCTCCTTAAATGTATCCTTCCCTTCTTAAACTTTAACAATCAAAAAACAAGCATTCTGGAACCAGACCTTTGATATTTACAAATGATAAGTTAATGTTTCCTTCCTGAGTCTTTATATTTAGAAAGCAAACATCTCTTAGGCTTCCCTAAAGAATTATTATTTAGTTAAAAGTAGATGTTCTAAATTAAAGTGCAGGATACAAATTTTTAAAGTTCTCTATTTTCTGTCTTCTAATAATGTGTATAATATGCAGAAGCTATAAAAATGACTCTGCACTAAGCAGATAGCCTCTGATGTTATTGTTCACAATTTGATGTACATAAATTCCATCAGGAATCTTATTAAAAAAAAATTCCCCAAGCTAGATCTTGTAATTTACAATTCCTTTATGAGAGAAGATGTAATTGGAATGCTAAATTTTAGTTAATATATAACTCCATAATTAATTTTTACCCAAGTGCTAATGATATAGCAAGAGGAAGTTACAAGGAATTTCTATTTCAAAGTAGAACTTATGCTTGAGACTCAGTAAGGTATTTTAATGTAACATATATTAACACAGCTTAGTTTCCCCAATATAAAAAAAATTGCCTTTTCTCAGAAATAATTGGAGGCATTTGGTTCTCATTTTTCAAACTGTAATCAAATGTCTCAACTTTTGTCAAAACTATTTGATCATTTTTGTATAATTGAATCCTCATCATTTGATTCACTAACACCTACCTTTGAACATCTGTTATAAACTATTCTGGGGAGTAACCTTTGTGATATGTAAATCATTAACAAAAGTATCCTAAGGCAGGGTCACAGTAACTACATTTTTCCTGGGGTGTTTTCTTTCACTGTTTAAAATTAGATGAACTAAAAAAAAAAATTCCTGCTGGCTGTTCTTATTATCATATCATGACTAAAGACATCTATGAAGTAAACGATTAATTATAAAGCCATGGAAAATGATTATTCTTAATGCAAGTGTACTTTCAAAGACTACTTTGAAGTTCTTTAATTTCTCCATATATAGTATTCTATATTTGCAGATGCATACATAACTCTAGCATAGACTTAACCTTAATTTTAGTACATCTTATGCAACAAACACTTTTGTTTAAAAAATTGTACATTGTATCCTCCTTGAAAACAAATGATGGTATTGTTCTCAAAATTTCATGACAATGTAAAATTTTAAACATTTCTATAATTGGATTGATACAGAAAGGGTTAATGAAACAACAGTAAGGAAAATGTCTAATTACTTGGTCATGTCTTCCTCCAGTTTCTTGTAGATCAATGTTTTGTCGATTTCACCTAGACCACCATAAAACAAACATACCATTTATGTCTCTTTGGTATTCACTTAAAATAAACATGTAAAATGAATCAAACACATTTCAATTAATAATTTACACAAAAACAGGTCAAAATGACTAAGTAATTGTGTACAATCATTACGACATCCACTCAAATAATTCTTTGCTGGCTGTGTGCAACCACACACAAAATTCAGTGATGCTTATTTGCAAGAAGAAACTCACACTAATAAATGCCAAAGCATACTTGACACTTAGAAGAGATGCAGTGGAGAACTGATGACAGCATAGGCACTGGAGTGTCCAGGAAAGAAAAGCCTTTCTCCTGCTACCTAAACCGACCCTGGAGTGAGACCTCAGAAGAGGAATGATTACATAGTAAGCTCAGAGGATGACCTTAGGAGAGCTTCCCAGAGCCTTCTTGGGCCTAGAGAAATACAGAAGGAATAGAAAGATTCCAGTGCTCCTAAGAGAAAGGAATAAAGAGAACTTGGTGGAATGGCTATGTAGAAGATGGTGCTGAACAACACTTGTCCTTCACACTCATCTGCAGCTACGGCTGGTATCCCAGACATACCCCAGAGAAAGGCCAGGGCTATCCTAAAACAATGGAGATGGGGCTTCTGTCACTTTAGCTAATAGGGACTCAAAATTAAAATATTATATAAAATGTTTCATTTTCTGTACAGTTGGATTTTGAAATAACACTTATATTTACTACTTACCTTTCTAGCCGCAACACACAGCACCCTCTTATGTCCACCTACCCCAGTTCTCTCTGTTTCCATGAAGCCCCTGCCCTCTAAGCACACTCAGGGTTTGCTATTCCATGAACATCCTGTCCACTCTCTTCCTTTAACACTTTATTCATTCTTTCTACCTGGAATGCCTTTACTTTTTTCTCCCAGAAGACACTCCTCAAATAGCTTATCCCTAACAGAGTGACTCACTTTGTCACAGAATTAAACAGTAGTTAGCACATGATTCAAATAACCAATTCAACTCCTTATATCTGTCTCCTTTTATTCCCATTGGTGTAAGCTCTGAGAAAACTGGACTATTCTTCAAGTTTATCTTTGCATCCCCCATGCTTGGCCACTTGTATCTGCCATAACCCAGAGTGTTTTAGAGATTGACAAGTGGTCTCAGAACCACCACACATGCCAGACCATTTGTCAAAATATTCTCCTATTTGAATAGAAGTGTTTTACATTGAATTAAAAAGAGATAACCAGCCATTCTCCTTAGTGGTCAGCCTTTTGTAAATCTTGGTAGGACTTGAAAGAATGAAACTGTGCCCAAACCATAACTAAACAGTTCATACCACTTAGGGATCATGTTGTATGTTTGTTAGATCCAAATATCTCACTATGTTTAGTAATTTTAACTACTGAGCACTTAAAATGAACATAAATACAAAAGGTATGTGACATAAATACACTGATGATTTACTCACTGGTAAACCAAATTTATATAAAAAGGGTGGTTTTCAAACCATCTCTAATAGAGTCTCAGTGCCAGTCACAGTTCTAGATACTGAGGGTATAGCCTAGAATGACAGGCACTTTTTCTAATCTCACTGCATTTCAGTTGTAGAAGGAAATCTTCTCATTTGCAAGCCCCAAACCTCATGAGAAAGGGATAAACTGCTGAAATGTTAACCAAAGATTTTCCCAGGAACTTCCTGTTTTTTCCTCATGCCTTTCACACCATGCAAGAAGTGGTTAAGAAACAAGTAAAACAATACATTAACAAGATAATGTGAGGGTAATAGCACTTAATAAGTAAATAATATCATGATGTTCTTCTGACTTTGGGATAGGTTTGAGACAAAATGTCACAGATGGGGAAAGTGAATGATGAGAAGAAGCATTACAGAGATGGGGCAGGATTTGCATGGCACAAGCCAGGAAGGAGACTGAAACATTCTAGAAACAGGAAGGTCAGTTTCGGAGGTCTACAGTGAGTAAGTAATGAACAATGATACTCCTGGGACGGGACAGGCCAGGGCCAGACCATGTGGCCCATATGGAATTTGCATTTATTCCATGCTATGAGAGGTCACAGGGAGAGAGGTGATCAGACTTCTGTTTTTTAAAGCTCACTGACAATGTATGGAGAACTGGACAAAGGTAGGCAAGGGTAGAAGACAGAGCTGAATGGACAAGACTAGAGGACAGCTTGGACACAGGCTGTCCCTAAGCTATAGGTGATCTAACTCTCAGGGTGACCTCAGCACTTTTGTGAGTGGCAGGAGAGCAGGCTAGCAGCAGAGACCACAGTTCTGGGTCCCCTGAATTACTTTCCACCTGGGTAGCCCTTTCAGATGTTCTTCCTGCTGCACATTCATGACAGACATTATTTATACATGGGGTTCTCAGATTATAGAAGCAGCAGCAAACCATAGATTTAAATGATCTGCAGGCCCTTTCTAACTCGAGAACAGTGATTCCAACTTTCCCAGTTTCTCATGAAGGAAACTCCATCAACCATAAGCAAGAGCATTTGGACCTTTCACCTGATCCATCCTCCCTGGCATTTGCCCAGGCTGCAGCCTGCAACTCAGTGTATTAGGCTTCCTGCAGGTGACTCAGATGCTTCTAGGAGTCACAATCTCCTCACCTGTGCAGCTGTAACATTTGAGCTGTGCCTGCTGGATGACCTGCCTGACATTCTGACTCTGCTACTTTCCTAAAAGTTCGGATCACATTTATAAGGGCCTTAAGAGAAACTAAAGCAGATACCTTAAAAGCAACTGAGGCCAATAGGAAAAGGGGAACAGGAACTAGAGAAAAGGTTAGATCAAAAAGAATTAACCTAGAAGGTAACACTCACGCACAGGAAATCAATGTGAGTCAATGCCCTGTATAGCTATCCTTATCTCAACCAGCAAAAACTCTTGTTCCTTCCTATTATTGCTTATACTCTCTCTACAACAAAATTAGAAATAAGGGCAAAATAGTTTCTGCTGGGTATTGAGGGGGTGGGGGGTAGAGGGCGGGGGCGGAGTGGGTGGTAAGGGAGGGGGTGGGGGCAGGGGGGAGAAATGACCCAAGCCTTGTATGCACATATGAATAATAATAAAAAAAAAAAAAATAAGGGCCTTACCTCAGGACCTAATCAACTACCAAAGGCACTACCTCCAAATACCATCACATCAGGAGTTAGGATTTCAATGTATGAATGTTGGAGATCACAGACATTCACACCACAGCACTGTCTATCCTTACATATTGGTGGTCCAGGTAAAGTTGGTAATAGCATTTTTGAAGTTGATAATAGTTAGCACTTTTGTCTGAAGAGATCATTTGTTAACTTAATAAAGTTAGAACCAATTAATCCCTGGGTGATGGAGATAAAAGGCAATACAAATGTTAATGGAGGTTAAAGAAAAGACCAACTGATATAATACAGTGTTGCAATTTGGGTATGTTGTTTCTCCCCCACAATGTATCCATACCTCCAGCGCTTTTTAGTTTTATGTTATTTTCCAGAAAGGGTCTTGAGTTTTTGTCTGTGACTGGCTTCTGACCACAGTCCTGCTACCTATGCTCCACATACCTGGGATTACAGACCTGTGCTAGCATGCCCAACTTTTTTGTTGAGATGAGGGGGGCTCACTAACTTTTGACCCAAGCTAGCCTTAAATCACTATCCTCCTAATTGTTACCTTCTGAGTAGCTGGGAATATAGGTATGAGCCACAATGCTGGGCTCTTTCCTCCTTTTAAGTTCTTTCTCTGAAGTATTTGTCACCATGACAAAAAATGGACTGACACAACAAGCTTAGTTTTTGTGTCTCAGCGTAAGTCAGATCCATTAGCTTCAGGCAGCCATTTGATGGTCTGCTCTCTCCAGACTAGGAATCCACAGATTCTCACCTCCTCATTTATCCACTTTCAGACTCTGACATTCAATATTCCCACCCATTATTGCAGATGCAATGTTCTAACTCCCATTTTCAGCAAACATTTCCCCCTGAGCTTTGGATCCCATCCTTTTTCAAGGTTTTCAGTCTAGCAAATCTCTTCCCTACTTCAAACACCATTTACCACTTTCTCCTCTCTTTTGTATTATTTCCATTAACACACAAGCAAAATGTTACTTCTCCCATCCTAAATTTCAAGCATGCACTCACACACACATACATGCACACACACACACACACACACACACACACACACACACACACACACACACACATACACACACCTTCTGTAGGCTCCATTTCTCCATATCCACATCTACTTCTAACTCATGACAAGGTCCAAACCTTACTTCTGTTATTTGTAGCCAAAACCGACTCTCCCTCCATCTTTCTCATTTCAACTCATAGGAACTACATTCTTCTAATTTCTTGTGCTAAAAACTTTAGAATCATCAGGGACTCCTTTCTTCACCCATTTCCAAATCTGTCAGGGACTCTCATTAATGATTCCAGCTTCTCATTCAAGATCTAATCATGGTTCTACACTTCCCCCTGATGCACAGCATACTTCTGACATCACAGAGCCCACATCATTTCTTCATTTCTACATATCTCTTTCAGCAGTTCCACTGGGCATGCTAATCCTTGTGAATATTACCTTCTGAAGCTTATTAACATGAGCTACAGTTCAGGCCCTCCACGTCCCACAGGACTAAACACAATAGTGCAGATTTAGTAAGAACCCCATAAATGCCACATTTTTTTTTGGTAGTACTAGGTGTTTGAACTTAGGGCTAGGTACTCTACCACTTGATCCATGCCCCAGCCCTTTTTGCTTTTAGTTATTTTTCAGATAGGGTCTTACTTTTTGCCCAGGGCCAGCCTCAAACTGTGATCCTTCCATCTATGCCTCCTGCAAAGCTGGGATTACGGAAGTGTACCACCATGTCCAGTTTATTTGTTAAAATGGGGTCTTACTAACTTTTATCTGTGGCTGCCCTGGAACCACCAATCTCAGCCTCCCCCACCTCAGTAGCTGAGAATATAGACATAATCCACTGCACCTAGCAACAAATGTCACTTTTTTTTGTTTATTAATATGTGCATACAATGTTTGGGTCATTTCTCTTCTCTACCCCCCGCCCCCTCCTTCTCCCCCATCGCCCCCTCCCTCTCCCCTCCTACCTCCTCGCTTCCAGGCAGAAATTGTTCTGCCCTTATCTCTAATTTTGTTGAAGAGAGAGTATAAACAATAATAAGAAGGAAAAAGCGTTTTTGCTAGTTGAGATAAGGATGCTTTTTGCAAGTTTCCAATGAAATCAATACCATAAACAATACTTACTTTGATTATTAATGCTTGTCAGATTACTTCCTGCATTTGTAAAGCTATCAGTCATTTCTCCAAACACCAGCATCAAGAGTGGGAGTGCAGCTCCATGGGTAATGGCAGCCAAAGTTCCCAGCACCATGTACAGTTTGTCAAGCCAATCTGCATAGCGAAACTAAGAAAAAGAAGAAAAAGACAGCATAGGCACAATTAGCAGCAGAAAGCAAGATTTTAAAGCTTATATATGCTTCCCAGGGAGAGAGAAATTAATGGCAAAGTTATATAACAAAGAATTTACAGTATACAGTAGAAATAAGTGGGAATAAGTACTATATTGACAAGTGGAAACACAAAGAGCACATTATTTAATGATAGCAGCACATGGCAGTCCATAAAGCAAAACAGAAAATGCAGTCATCTTTTATGTGACTAGTGAAAGTTAAGGTCTGGTATAAGAAGACTATCTAACATTACAGTGTTTAGGCACTTGGATTTTAAGTTTTTCTTAAAAATGTAATCAAGTGAGCTTAAGTTTGGGTTGATAACATAACTTTCTAAGCCCAAAACATCCCATTCTTTAGAAATTAAAACCTGGAGAATAATGTTTGGGCATATTTCATGCTTCATGGAAGCACAGACTAAATTTTGCCAGTGCATTCTTTGTCATCTTCTACCTTAAATAAAGATAAGGAGGAGGGTCAGATAGGCAGAAACTTATATCTTCTCTTAAAGACTCTCTATATAGTGCATAAAATATCAAATTCATTTGCTGACTATCTATTCAATTTCAAATAAAATCTAACAAATAAGTACTAAAGCTAAGACCACTGTCTTTAGAGTTTAAAGAGAAGGAAGAAGATGGAACAAAAAGCACATGAAAGACACTACCAAGATGGCGGCTAGAGGTAGGAAGCAGAAAGCGACCCTCCTATAGTGAAATCTTGGAGAGACACTGGAGACACACTTTGCAGGCATAATCACTGAGAAAAGGCATAACTTTGACTCCTCCACATCTCCAGCGGGCGCAGAGAATCTCCACTTCACGTTAAACGGAGAACCGAGGAGGCCCCCGGGCCGCCAGTGGCCGGCGCCCATACGGCTTGGGAAGACGCGGACCAGGTGAGCTTCGCGGTACCGCGGTTCCCCCACAGACAAGCCTGGGCCAGAGCAGCATACCCCCCTGGACAGACTGACCTCCACCAGGGAAAAAAAGAGAAACTGAGTACTAAGCAATAAGAACAGTTAAGACACGCTGGAAAGAGGGTGGGGCGCCCTGAGCGCTGAAGATTGGGGGAAGGGAATCCTTCCCGGGACTGTAAATAAACGAGCCGGGCAGGCCGAGAGGCTCTGGGCGGGAGCAGGGCGCGCCAGCAACCAGGAGCGGGGACGCTTGTGAGAGGAGGGAAGACCCACTTCCCACGTGAACTGTAAATAAACACGCAGGCCTGACAACGCGGGGCAGTGTCACCTTTCCCAGTGCTTGGAAAGGGGAAAGCCTGTAGCAGAGGCCCCCGCACAGGAGAACTCTGAGCAAACAAAGCCTGTGGGACCAGGTGAGCGCTAGCTCACCCCAGAGATCTGCATAAATAACGCCGCCAGCTACAGGCTGAGAGCAGCAGGCAGGCAAGCCACAGTTGCAGATACCACTCTCAGAACTGTCTCCAGATGCTTTTTTTCTTTTTCTCCCTACCTTTGATGAGAGAACAACCGAATTACACCTGCAAGCCGAAAAACTTACTGAAACTGTATTGCATTTGAACTGGGGACACTTGGTGGGGTTTTTTTTTTTTTTTTTTGTGTGTGTGTGAGTGTGTAGTTTTGTTCTACTTTATGCATCCCCTTTGATGAGACAACTACAGAACAACATCTGAGGCACCAACTCCAGGACTGGAGATTGAGACGGACATCCAAATTATTAAGACTGAAACTGCATTGCATATAAACTTGGAAGTTTTTGGTTTTTTTTTTTTTTTTTTAATTTTCTATTTTCCATTTTATTTTAATTCATTTTTATAAATAGATATTACTTTCATATACTTATTTTTTATTTTTTTTATCTTTGATTTTCAATCCTCTCTCTGTCTCTCTATGTCTGTTCAGCTTACTGTCGATTAGTACACTAACACTCCCTGTTTATACCTTTGAAACTCTCTTGTCTGATACCTTGTTCTGCTTTCTCCCTCTTGTCTGTATATTTTTTTCCCTTTTCTTTAACTTCTTGCTTTCCATCTCAGCTCACTCTTCCATTCTCAATATTACCATTGTTATTATTACAAGCTAGAAAATACTTAATTGCACACAGTACAGGGACAGTAACAACACCAAGGACAATGACAGGAAGACAGAAAAAACAGGAAACCAGTTTCCCCACAGCAAAAAATTAGTACAGGAACCAGAGGGGAATGAAGAGAACAGAAACTCAGAGCCAGACTCCAACAAAATGAAGATAAACTATGCCAAAGGACCCAATGAAGCCCACAAGAATAATTTAAAAGAAGACATACTACAAGTACTCAATGAGAATTTTATAGAGATGATACTGGATAGGGTCAACCAAAATGTACAGGAGACACTCAAGAAATTCCAAGACAATAAAAATAGAGAATTTGAAAAAGCAAAAGAAGAAATAAAGGAAACCATAGAAGCACTGTATAAACACCAAAGTGAAAGAGAGAACACAATGAATAAATGGATAAATGAACTCAGGACAAAAATAGACAACAATAAAGAAGAAAACAGCCAGGATATGGAAAACCTCAGAAAAAAGAATGAAACAGAACTGCAAAACAAAACGGAAGGCCAATCCAGCAGAATAGAACAAACAGAAGACAGAATCTCAGAACTTGAAGATGAAATGGTAATTAAAGGAAAAACTGAAGAACTATTAATTAAACAACTCAAGACCTGTGAAAAGAAAATGCAAGAACTCACTGACTCCATCAAAAGACCAAACTTGAGAATCATGGGCATCGAAGAAGGAGAAGAGGTGCAAGCGAAGGGAATGCGTAATATATTCAACAAAATAATAACGGAAAATTTCCCAAATCTAGAGAAAGATATTCCCATACAATGCAAGAGGCCTCCAGGACACCAAACAGACCAGATCAAAATAGAACTACTCCACGACATATCATCATTAAAACAACAAGTTCAGAAACTAAGGAAAGAATATTGAAGGCTGTAAGAGAGAAAAAACAAGTAACATACAAAGGTAAACCCATCAAAATCACAGCAGACTTCTCAACAGAAACATTAAAAGCAAGAAGAGCGTGGGGTGAGATCTTCCGGGCACTGAATGAAAATAACTTCAACCCCAGGATACTCTACCCAGCAAAGCTATCATTCAAAATAGATGGAGCAATAAAAGTCTTCCATGATAAGCAGAAACTAAAACAATATGTGACCACAAAGCCACCATTACAAAAGATTCTGCAAGGGATCCTGCACACAGAAAGTGACACCCAACTTAACCATGAAAAGGCAGGCAGCACCAAACCACAGGATAAGAAAAAGCAAGACAGTAGAGAGTAACATCAAGTTAGGTACACACAATCAAACCTTCAAACAACTAAGACAACTAAATGCAGGAATCACCACATACCTATCAGTACTAACACTTAATGTTAATGGACTTAATTCACCCATCAAAAGACACCGTTTGACAAAATGGATTAAAAAAGAAGATCCAACAATTTGTTGCTTACAGGAGACTCATCTCACCGACAGAAATAAGCATATGCTTAGGATGAAAGGCTGGAAGAAGATTTACCAAGCCAATGGCCCCCGAAAAAGCAGGAGTAGCAATACTTATCTCTGACAAAGTAGACTTCAAACCTACATTGATCAAACGAGATAAAGAAGGACATTCCATACTAATAAAAGGGGAAATAGACCAAAAGGAAATAATAATCATCAATCTGTACGCACCCAATGTCAACGCACCCAATTTCATCAAACATACCCTGAAAGACCTAAAAGCATATTAAACGCCAACACAGTGGTTGTGGGAGACTTTAACACCCATTATCATCAATAGATAGGTCATCCAAACAAAAACTCAATAAAGAAATCCAAGATCTAAAATATGCAATAGATCAAATGGACCTAGTAGATGTCTACAGAACATTTCATCCAACCTCTACACAATATACATTCTTCTCAGCAGCCCATGGAACCTTCTCCAAAATAGATCATATCCTAGGGCACAAAGCAAGCCTCAGCAAATATAAGAAAATAGAAATTAATACCATGCATACTATCTGACACAATGCAGTAAAAGTAGAACTCAACAACAAAAGTAAAGACAAAAAACATGCAAACAGCTGGAAACTAAATAACTCATTACTTAATGAAGAATGGATCATCGATGAAATAAAAGAGGAAATTAAAAAGTTCCTGGAAGTCAATGAAAATGAAAACACAACCTACCGGAACCTATGGGACACAGCTAAGGCAGTCTGAGAGGAAAGTTTATAGCCATGAGTGCATATATTAAAAAGATGAAAGATCCCAAATCAATGACCTAATGATACATCTCAAACTCCTAGAAAAACAAGAACAAGCAAATCCCAAAACAAATAGAAGGAGAGAAATAATAAAAATAAGAGCTGAAATCAATGAAATAGAAACCAAAAAAACCATACAAAGAATTAATGAAACAAAAAGTTGGTTCTTTGAAAAAATAAACAAGATCGATAGACCCCTGGCAAACCTGACTAAAATGAGGAGAGAAAAAACCCAAATTAGTAGAATCAGGAATGCAAAAGGGGAGATAACAACAAACACCATGGAAGTCCAGGAAATCATCAGAGACTACTTTGAGAACCTATATTCAAATAAATTTGAAAATCTAAAGAAATGGACAGATTTCTAGATACATATGATCATCCAAAACTGAACCAAGAGGAAATTAATCACCTGAATAGACCATAACACAAAATGAAATTGAAGCAGCAATCAAGAGTCTCCCCAAAAAGAAAGTCCAGGACCTGATGGATTCTCTGCTGAATTCTATCAGACCTTTAAAGAAGAACTGATACCAACCCTCCTTAAACTGTTCCATGAAATAGAAAGGGAAGGAAAACTGCCAAACACATTTTATGAAGCCAGTATTACACTTATCCCAAAACCAGGCAAAGACACCTCCAAAAAGGAGAACTATAGGCCAATCTCCTT